TCACTTTAATCCCTAATTCACTCAATCATTGCTAATTGGATAACAATTACATCGATTTCTCATTAGACTTGATTTCCTTAATACGTTCTGATGGTGTCATCGAGGACTCAAAGTCATCTTCTGACTGATGCATTTTCTCAGTATCTTTCATTTTTTTTGTTTGTTGGTTTGTTTCCTTCATATCTGCTTCTTCTAGACAGAATTAAACTATATATACGTATAAGATATTTACACAGAAGAGTTTTAAATGAGAATATTCCAATGTACAATCTTTTAGTTGACTAAAATCAATTTAGTTAAGTTGATATCCACTCACTGTCGTGCAATCCGCCAACGAAACTGCTTCCGAATGTTTTGTTTCGGAATAATTAATAATTGAATTCTGTACTTACCAATATTTTCTTAATATTCTCCGAGATTTTTTTATACGATAACAGCTTTTTCGTTTTGCCACACTATTCTTTTACTAACGTAATATGTTTTTAGGAAACAATTGATGAGCGCGGGTTCAATAGTCAACATTCTTAAATATAATGTGGACATTTTGTGTGGCCACTCAGTCATTACGTGACATCTGCCGTTTTCAGAATAAACGATAAGTTTATCAATATTTCTATCGATAAAACGATCACAAATCCCAAATATTTTAAAACTGAAGAAACTATATACAAATATACAATTGTAATAAATAGAAACGTACCAATCCTATTCTTAACTAAACAATTTATTCATTTTGAGTTGATAATGTCTGAAGAGAAGTGTAAGTTAATTTATTATAAATAACGAAATTATATATATATAGATATTAAGAGAAGGATGAATAAATATTTTAAGATGGCTTTAACCTCAAAATTATATGACAAGAAAATTGATTTTTTATAGTTGCATCAATTAAGGCTAAACGCCTGAAGGACGTTTTCCGTGATGAAACTGATATCATTCAGACAGAATGGATGATCGATTATACTGTCACAAACATCCTAAAAAAAATTAAATTGAACGATAATACTGTGTAGGTTTTTATTTCTACATATTTTTCCACCACTATTGAGGTCTTTTTTTCCAAAATTGAAAATGTCTTTTTATTTGCAGTGAAATTATTGACTGGGCAGAATCCTTGGGACCTCTGGAACAGACTGGTCTTCATGAATTTGTTTTCCAGTGTATCTTAAAGAATGATGAGAATCAAAAAATCAAATTCATTGCATTTAATGACGACGCTCGACGACTCTACCCTTTCTTTCGTCAAGATTATGTAATTATGAATAATAGTTCATAAAATATTGAATGAAAAATTTTCGTAAACCTCCTAGGAAATTCATTTAGATGTATATTTAGAATTCTATGTTTTCTGCCTTTTTAGTGCAAAATATTTGATTTTATATTTTTTTTTCTCAATTTGATAAAGAAGATGGTCAGTAGAAAAGAATTAAAAGTTTCATGCTGTTATGTACAGAGGATTTCTTTGAATTTAATTGTGAATATGCCAAAGTGTAAATTAGTTCGTCGCAATTTTGAATATCATTTATATAGAAAGTATTTATACTATGATAAATGTTTTTTAAAGTTAGATTCGTGCAATTTTCCAAAATTGCTAAATTTATTATATTATATTTTCCTTTCATGTCCATTCATTATTGAAAACAAGATAGGGAAAAAATTTATGATCATGAATTTGTACCGAAAAAGTTTCGGAATCATGAACATACACAAAGTACTTACATACATGTTCATGAAGTTTTTTTTTTTTCCTGAATAATTTTTCATTAAATTTCTCAACTGAAAAAACTACACGAGAAAAAAAAATAGGATTTATGTTATAATCTCCGAACGCCTCTCAACGTGCCCTATAAACGAGACGAGAGGGACAAGGTTGAGCGCCAATCGGGTGTGTCCACAGGTAGCGGATAGACGAACGGCCGACGGAGAATTGGGGCAGGTTAAGGGCTGGAAACATAGAGGTATGGGACTGGCCCTCGCCGGCCCTGCCGCATTGACGGTTAGCGTGAGCTATAAGGAAAGGGCCTAAAAACCTGGAAGGAACCGAAGGCCGCGCCACAGACCAACTCCCCAAGCCAAGGTGGAAGTGATTCGTGCCGAAAGCTGAATGGCACTGGGGTTACAGTGTTGTTAACGAGACCGTTGGGGCATCAGGCCGCAGTCCACCGTATTTAGGCCTTGCCCAGCATCCCGGCTCTGCTGGGGCCGACCTTTACTTCCGAGGATACTCGTGGGAACCATATGGACCCCCCTATTAATAATAAAAATTTTACCAACGCCAAGGACGGTGCCCTCACAGAGGGAACGTCTGAGGCCTTACCGATTGTCCAGGCCGTTACAGTCTCTGATGCTCCGACGGGGGCACATAAGACTACGGAAATGGAAGTGGAGACGCTGAAGGT